CTCACACACAGCCCCGTAGCACGCGATCAGCTCGGTGTTGGACCTGCTTCTGGCACAGGGAGGGACCCTGCACCTTGGGCCTGAGGGCGTGCACGTTCTCCAGACCTCGAGTGGCCCCGCACCGGTCAGCCACCACTGCCCCTCCACCCCACACCCCAGCCCTCGGCCACCACAGCCCCACTTGGTCCCTGTGGATTTGCCCATCGAGCCTGCAGGTCCTCGCCCGCACTGGGGGCCACGGGGCCAGACTTTCCCAAGACCCTTGGCTGGTCTGAGCCCCTCACGCAGCTGACTCGTCCAGCAGCAGGCCCTGGGCACGTGCTGGGGTCGCGAGAGGACACAGGCTGAGACCCTACCCTGAGCGCCCCGGTCAGTGGGCCGGTAACTCATCCCCGTGAGGACCGCTGCCCAGCACCGCCTGAGATCGAGGCCGGGGCAGAGGTGGGGCCCCTGCAGCGAGGGGCAGGCACGGGCCCAGGGGACACGGGAACTGGGTCTGGGAAGGCCAGGGTCCCTGGGGCTGGCGTGTCCATGGCGGGCTTGCGGTGGCGCTGGCTGCTTCAGTGCCTGGCCTCAGCTCAGCTCAGCTGTGCAGACACATTCCCGTCCACAGTGAGGAAGGAGGAGGTGCAGGCCTGGGGGTGCAGTGGGCGGGGCAGAGCCAGGTGGGAAGCGAAGCAGCCTGCCCATCCCCCGCGCCGTCCTCCACGCCAACCAGGGCCTCTGAGGACAGGCCTTGGCCGCTGGCCCACGCTCAGCACAGAACAGGTGCTGGGCACACTCCTAGGTTTTGATTGCGGGGCCCCCAAGTCCAGCGCGAGGCCCGAGGCGGAGGACGCAGCCTCTGGGAGGCGGAGGAGCAGGGAGGGAAGCTCTGAAGCGGCACAGCCAGGCCCCCTCCCAAGCTCCTCCTTAGCCTCGGCGCCCTGAGCTGGGCCTCAGACACACCCTGGCACACGTTCACTCTCATCCACGCAGCCACTCCCGTCTTCTCTCCACCAGGCCGGAAGCTCGGTGCCCAGGCCACGGCCGGTGGGCAGGACCACACGGTTGGGGAGACAGGCCAATCTCATTCCAGTGTGAGAGAGAAGAGAGGGTGCTGGGAGCAACTCTTGGTCTGGCGGGATGAGGGGCGTCACTGGAGAACCTCAGAGATGGGTAGAACGTTCCAGAACAGGGAACGGGGCAGCGTGGCCTGCCTGCGGGACCCAAAGCCCTCGGGGTGGAGGGTGGGGTGGGGAGCGGCTGAGAGCTGACCACCGCCTGCCTTAAGCAGAAGTCAGACCAGTGAGAGGCCTTGGCACCTCGTCAGCAAGCGTGGGCTTTATTTGCCACGAAGGCACAGGAAGGGCCTTACGAGGACTAGGTGGTGACGTGATCTCACTTGCTCTTTAGGAAAACAGCTCTGCTGGCAGCACGGACCCAGCGAAGATTCTGCTTGTCCCCTGCGGAGGGGTGGCCACGGCACGGCCGGGGAGGCGCGGCGGGGATGCACACAAGGGGACTGCCTCCAGCAGCACTTAGGATGCAGAGAAGAAATGCTGAAAATGGAGCTAGCGGCCCGGCCGGCGCGGCTCAGTAGCTGAGCGCCGACCTATGAACCAGGAGGTCCCGGTTCGATTCCCGGTCCGGGCACATGCCCGGGTTGCGGGCTTGACCTCTAGTTGGGGCGTACAGGAGGCAGCCGATCCATGCTTCTCATCATTGATGTTCCCATCTCTCCCTCTCCCTTCCTCTCTGAAATCAACAAAAATATTTTTTAAAAATGGAGCTCGTCTGTGACCGGAGGGGGTGGTCTGGGCAGACAGGTTTCTGGCTTGGGCTACGTGGGATGTGTCCCTGCGGGTCACGGAGGTGGGGAGTCTAAGATGTCTCCTCGTTTTCTTCGCAGACTCCCCGACCTACCAATGAGATCCTACCAAACACCGCGCTCCCGGCCTGAGCCCCACCTCTCTCACTAGGGCGCACGCAGCCCAGCAGGGCGGCCCTGGCCAGCACCACCCAGCCCAGCCCCACCCGTTACCTCCAGCTCCGGGTAGCTGAGCACCACGAGAGAGGCGCAGGCTCTGACACTGTCGCCCTTCACGAAGGACACGTCCACGCCGCCGACCCTCTGCAGCCCCGCGAAGGCGGGGTCCCGCTGCCACGCCTCCGTGTCCTGGTCCACCACGCGGGCCTTCAGCAGGGCTTGCTCCCTGCGGGCAGAACCAGG